CTGGTTAATTCGTTCTATATTTTTCAGCAAATATGCTACGATAAGCAGAATAGAAGTCAATAGGAATATGCTCCCTAATTAAAATCCTAAGATAGTAGAAGTTCCGTATAGCATTTTATATGAGGTTACACATCCCCCAATAATCAGAAAATAGAATTTCTGATGCATCCCGCATTAGTGACATGTGACGGTTCTTAATAAATTACACCACAAATTAGTCCTTGGGTCTTCAGATTCATCCTCATAATAGGTTTATTTTTACGAAAAGAAGAAAAAATATTCTTCGGCAGGATTTATTTACTCCTAAGAAACAATTTCTAATTTTCCCAATGATAATAAAATGATTGTAAAATTTTCTTAATCCGCCCTATTCTCCTACGACACCATTGTATTCATTCTATGACCAATATAATGTAATGTCAATATAAAAATCAAATCAAGGGGTCATTCATTGGGAATATGGCATCTGAAATGTGATGTAAATGTCGTCATATACAATTCTACCGAATTCAGAATTTGTAATTATCAGGGAAGATATTGGATCTGGGAATAATTTTAAAAATCTACAAGCAGATTAATTTTTTTCTTCTTACTTTATCTGGTGTTATATGTTCATTAAGATCTGTTTTTGAGAATGGTTGTTTCCTTTTATAAACATTGCTCGCGAAGATATCTTCCTGCCTATAGCTCAGCAATATACACGTATATGTGCTTACATAGATTTTTTTCTTTTTCTCATTTGTCTTTTGTATTTATGAATTCCTTTTATTCCTAAGTGTAGTATAAAGATAAGTGTCTTTCCTTTCGTTTTTTCCTTTGTCCCCTCCTGTGCTTCCCCTTTTCTTTTTTCACTTTCGATTGTTTTACTCGCTCTTTTCTTTTTTTTTTCTTGTAGTTCCTTCCCGTTGTCTGATTCTTTTATGTTCAACCTTAAGAGTCTGTATTTCATGTCATCTATAATTTCTCCTTTTTGATTTTTTGTAGTTATCGCGCGCTGTCTGATTCTTCTATATTCAACCTTAAAAGTGTGTATTTTATGTCATTTATAATTTTTCTCTTTTTCTTTCCCCTTTCTGTCTCTTTCTTTTTGTTTTTCTTAATTACATCATACCTGTTTCATTTTCAATTGGGGAAAAATAATAATGTGGACTCTTTTTTTTCTTTTCTTTTTTTTGGTTATACGCTGTAACCTCCTTACGTATCTTTTCCGCTCCTTTATATATAGGGACAGAAAATCGAGAATAATTTCCTTTACTATAAAAGAAGTTTATTTTTTTACTTTTAGAAATTATAGTCATTGAATAATTTCTCCCCTATAAGACTTAAGAGCTGTGTACAGATGCATTATTATATACAGAGTAGATTTCTCTACGTATATTTATTCATGTAGGATAGATGAGGAAAAAATAAAAAGTGAAGGAATTCCTCTTCTGTTCACTCCCATGCGCCCCCGTGTGTTATTCTTTGTGGTGATTATTCTTGTGAGGATGTCAGCAGATAAGAAGTCTAATAGAATGGAACAGAATCTTACCTCTGCTGTAAATTATACACACATAAAGAATAAGTGTAGTACATATTAATAATTTTCTTAATGTGTGAAGAATATCAGATTCTAGCATGGATATGTTTCCAATGTTATTGTTGAAGTGGGACATTTCTTCGACGAGCAGGCATTAAATTTAACTGAGCACTAGAAGTACCAGAATGAATCTATATGTAATGAAAACGCAGAAAGAACGGCTGAATATCTATCTGACCGAGTTAAGGAAGATTTGCAACCTATTCTAAGGAGAAATGATAATACATTAGAGCGAGAATGGGCAGACTATTTTCTTGAAATTGAAAACAGCCTGTACCATAAGCCACAGCCAAATCCTAATACTAAACAGAAGGAATTAGCAAACCCCTATTTCCGAAATTATAGACAGCTTATATGAGAAATCAGAGAAAAGTGTGAACCCAACAGAAGAATTCCCCCAAAATTCATACGACCCACCTGAGTTAAATGAAAAATACTAGATCGTTCTCAACAACTTTAAGGACCAAGATATAAATGAAATAATCGATTCGGTGTATGATAATTTATTCGGCAAGGCGATGCTTGAAGGAGGGATAAGTTTGGACAAAAATGCCAAAAGGGCGATGCACACCATCAACAAGCATTTATCCTATTATTTGGGAAAATTAAAGAGTCCCTATAGCGTGGATGGGAACATTGAGGTGGAACACGTGCAGAGGAGCCATCATACTATTCAAACAACCATGAGGATGATGGAGGAGTATCACAATAGACTGTTTTTCTACTACGTCATAGGGGATAAATTGCCCGAGTACGATCATGACTCTTTTATAAATGTGCATAGGAAAACGTTTACCTTATTCATAAATGAGCTAGTTACTATGGAGGAGCCTCAGTTAAATAGATGTGTACTCGAGTCAGGGATACTCATGGTGGAAGCCCACGGAGGACGGTTGACAAGGACACGTTGAGCGGCAGATACAGAGGTATATGCATATATAAGATGCTAACGATAGCAAGCATAAATATTCTTGTACCTATATGCTTATATATAAACTTATCTGATAAAGTTTTCTTTATTGAGAACAGGAGCGGAATGGATTATACAGCACCGTTTCAGCAATGATCGGTGCCAAAGTGGCATCGTGACTGTATTTTTTGCCATGGAAAAGTATTTAAATATTGGAAGACAAATATATGTGCTGTGTGTATTTTGAACGAGGCACTGAATTAAATTTATGTGTAAAGTTTTTCAATTTCCGTTTCTTTAAATCCTGATATGAGACTCATCATCGGACGTTCTAAACTCTGTTAATGTTTTTTTCTTTCATTTGAACCATTTATACGTACATGATATGCATAGCGTGCTACGAATAGAATTCTACCATTATCTCTTGAATTTGTTAAAAGGGGATTCTGTATTTTACTCCTTAATTCGAGTAAAGATTTAAAAAATTCATTTCTTTACATGGTCATCTGTTTCATTGTGCTTATAAGATAGGTGATTAGGGGGGAAGTAATGTTTTGAGGCTGTATAATAGCAGTGAGAATTCCCTGAATTCTAGGGTAAAAGTAGAAGTAGTACGACACCTGAAGTCAGTGTAGATATATAAATTAGGCATACTACCGTAACCTCAGATGTTAATAATGCTACTACGCTCCATTCTTTTCGGTTCAATTTAGCATAATGTTTATATAATATGTTCTCAACTCGTAAAAATTCCATTCATGGTTTCATTATTCATATATAATTTATTGTAAATAGCCGCAATGAGAGACATTTACATAGAAAGAGGTCCAGAGGGGATTGCTAAGAATAGCCAACCCAGTAATGAGGGAAAGATCATTACAGTTTCCATTATTTCATTCAAAAACAGAGAAAGAAACCGTAAAAAAGAAAAAAAGGAAGAAGTGTATATGACGTCACCATCTCTTCCATAGAATAAAACAATCAGATGTTTACATTATGGAAAACACAAGAATAGAAGGGATGCAAACTTTCGAATATAGTAGAATTTGAGAGAAACAGTTGTTAATTTTGTTTTGTAAGGGAACCTATCAATAGTGCATATATTTAATACGCTCTTTTAAATGTTGTAGATTTAAATTAAAAGTCATCTGCATCGTGTTCACTATCCTTCAACAGCAGAAGGAGGGTCACATAAGAAAATAGCTTCTCTTTTTTGGTAGTTTACCAGGCCTAATACAAGAAGG